CATACATTAAGCGATTCAAAGCGAAATTATAACATTTAAAAAAAAAGAGATAAATTATAAAAATTTTAAAACTGATGGAGTGCGAGGGCCCCACTAGCCCGCTTCTCCTTTGCCTCTGTTTTGATGCTCCCTTAGGAAGCACGATGGGGAGCACTGATTGTGCTCTTGCTTGGGGAGCACCAGATCAGCACTCTTCGGATCTGGCGCTCCTCAACGAAATTCGATAGCGGAGTGGTTGATCGGGAGAGAATTACTTTAATACGAAAAAAAATATTTTAAAAATAAAAAATTTTAATTTATAAAATGATGATTTTTAAAATTAATAAAAGATAAAATTGTTTTAAAAATAATATCATGTCATAAAATTAATAAAAATATTAACAATTAACTAATTGACTAGCAAATAATTTTTTTGAAACAAATTATTTATTTTGAATATTAATAAATTTGTATGTAATTATGATTAAAAATTAAAAAATTAATATATTTTACTTAAAAAATAAGATTAACTTCGACATTTTATCATTGAATTAGAACATTTTTTGTTTGGGTGAAGTTTTGCAAGGCAAATGCTTTTCCTTTCTTTCTTTTTTTTTTTTAATTTTAAGATGGGATATTGTAAGTAATAATTCGTTAAGCTAGGATATTGGTTTGAACTTTAAATCCAAGGGATGATCTAAATCTTTACCCTACTTTCGTTTATTTGAGGGAAGAAACAAGTTGCAAACCTAAAGTCTTTAATGCGAATTTGAGTAAATGATATATTTATTTATTATTTAATTAAATGACCGAACATAAATCCTAACATTTTAATTAGATGATTCGTTTCATTTCTTTTTCTTTCTTACTTTTCGAACATTGATCTTATTTTTACTGGCTTAATGCGACTAAACCAAGGAAAAGAAATATGTTGCAAGGCCGTTCGGTTGCATTAAAATGGAGTGGCATTTAAGATTGGGAAAAGAGGCAACGATAGGGGGATAAGGGCTAGGGGAATATTATGGGCCATGGTCCACCGTATTGGTAGCGCAGTAGCACGGCTGGACGGCTGGGGCTTGGTTAGGGTTGGGATGGACCATTTGTATAGGATACAACCCAAGTATCCATGTGTCCTTCGCTTCCACGTATCACCGCAAATATTTGTCCAAATTTATTGCGCATTGCCTTGCTTACCTCCCAGAAACTCTTTTGTCGGAGACTTTCAGTTGTTCTTGATGCGTGCAACATACTTTATTTTTTAAAGTAATATTTATATAATAAAATTTTAATATTTTTAAAATATAAAGTTAATTATTTATAAATAAAAAATAATTATAACTGAGAGACAATTATATATAAAAAGAAAAAATGTTATAAAATACAAATAATTGTTTATAATTAATCTAGAATATATCAATACTAAAATTACCATTAGTTTTAAGGATATGCAAACAGATTTGATACATTGATTTAGCATATTTTGAAGTTGATGACCCTTCACAACTTCAAAATCTATAAATCATAATTATGAAGGCAAAAATCAAAACATGCAAATGCAATATTTATTAAAATAAATGAAAGATAAAAAAAAAAAAGAGGAAAGACCATATCATGTGTAAATTGCCTGAAAAATATCTCACTTCCTCTTGATTGTCACATTAAAAAAAAATATAGGCATTAATATCATTCCTAAACCGATTAATCAAAAACTCTTGCTTGCTAAATCCTTTTAAGGCAACATTATATTAAAACCAAAGATGCCGATATGTATAGTAGAACGAGATTTAGTTACTCATGAACTCTAACCTTATATTTATTTAATGAAATTTAAGAGTTATATAAATGATAATTTAAAATTTTAACCAAAACAAATATCTATTTTCATCAATCAAAAAGCTTTGTCAACGTCTGTAATTTTATATCTATTATATAAATTAACATAAGCAAGGATTAGTGATCCAATTAAGTGCTACTACTAGCAGTTTATCCTAATTTCAAAACTTTAAAGAGATTAGAAATTTAACTTGTTAGTTGGCATTCCTTCTTGTGTTTTGCCATTCACCCCCGATCATTGGTATGGAGATGCTCTGTATTAGCCTCTTGGATGGTGCAACTCGAATCCTCTTATTAAAGAAAAGCGGAGTACATGCACGTACAGGTTTGGACGGCTACCGTAGCATTCCTGCTTGGTTCATCCTTAGGGATGCGCCAAAAGATTAGGTTACCCAGGAAAGAGTAACCCTTTAGTTGTGTTCAATGCATCAACACACTTCAAACGATACCCTACAAGACGGATGGCAGCGTGCAGCAGCAGCAGCAATGGAATTTGCAGAAACAAAAATATATTGTATAATTAATCATCAATAAATTGCCAACTACTTTTGTTTTTAACACAAGTAAACTGGCTCTAGAAGAAACTTATTACAAAGAAGGGGAGAAAAAAGAAATTAAGCTTAAAATAGGGAAAAAGGACTTGCTGCTGAATGAACTATTTTGCTTTAAACATACACATGGGACCCAGTTCTTGGTACTGGCAACACATCTAAGACGAGAGCCACCTTCGTGGCATTAGGGATGATAAATCTGTTCCTTCAGTGACCATTGGAAAGAGAACCATTCTCACAGGCAGTAAAGTCCCCATCCTTCTTTGCATAGAATCTCCGGTACATGGAATCAACTTCCGTGAGGTAGTATGTTCCAGGAGACAAAAGGCTACAGTCCTTGCTTGTCACAAAGTCCATGGCTCCATACCTGTGCTCCATGAGCTTCATAGTCTCAACAAACTTCTCAGGTGGAAACTGCATGGAAACACCCTTATTACCATCTTTTCAATGACATTTAATAAAATAATAAAGAAAATTATCTTTTCACTTGTGTTTATGGCACTCAACAAAAAGGACAAGAAATCAATGTGCTCAAGTTGAATTACACATGGGTTGGGTGCGCTATCAACTGATCTTGGTGAATCACATCAGTCAAAATCCAATATTCAGAGGCATTCAGGCAGTAGAATGACATATGCCCATTGTTATATTGATTTCTAGAAGTATATGATATCTAACGAACTGTACTCTTTCCTCGCCTAGAATGAAAGTGCAAGAATTACCTCATGCCTTGACTTCAATTTTCCAGCAACATTCATCACTGTTGCAATGTTCGATAGGCTAAAGGGCTGTTGACCTTCATTGAGTCGCAATGAAAACATTGTTGCTGTCAGACCACTCCCATACGAGAATAATATCACCCGCTTTCCAGCCTGCATGTTATTAAATATATCAGATGTAAGTGCAAGCAGCACAGAGCAGCAGGCTTCATAATTCAAAAAATGATAAAAAAAAATTACCAATTCACTATGTTTGTTGTGAATAAGGGACACAAATGCAGCATAAAGAGATGCGGTGTACATGTTGCCAACTTGCTTTGGTATCAAAGTGGTTGGTTGCACCTTGGCATCGTAGAGAGGCTTTGAAACTTGTTGGGATGCCTGCAAATGCATGAAAATAAGTGGCATCAGCAAGAAGCATGAAACAAATAAATGAATTTCTACCAGCTATCCCTCAAGCAATTCAAGAATATCAAATCTCGGGACTGTCTTCAGTTGTTCCAAAATATTTCAGCCATGATAAATAAGATACTAAGTTCAAGATAGACCTTCTCAAGATCCCTGCTTTGGTAGCTTTCATCACCAGTCAAAGTTGAGAATGGTCCCAACTTTTCTTTAGCAATGTCATCAACAGAACTACAAAATAATAAAAACCAAGTAAATAATCAACAGAGATGAATCAATCAGTAGAATCTCTGAGATCATCATAGAAAAAACAAAAACCTGGCATTCCTCAGGAAGTCGTTGAACAACAAACGAGCAAAGCTTTTCTGCACAAGCTGCAGTAGTTCAAAAGGAAAATGTTCAGATAAATTTCAAAATTCCAATGATGAATTGAAAGAAATTTTATTGAATTATCAATAACTGCTAACGTTAGCTACCTTGTTATATGGAGAGTGGAATACAAAATACTCAGCATCAGAAAGGGAAAATTGTTTGCCCGCTAGTTTCTCATACCTGGCATTAGCAGAGCATAAATGGTCACTAAATTCTATAATTGCAAAGAAAAAAAAGAAAATGCTTTAAGTACATCTATAAAGACTTACTTGTGACAGAAATATTTATAGCAAGAATCAAGAGCCATGAGGTAGCATGTCTGAGAAAGTTTCCCATCAACAACCTATAGATGCATGTCAATAGATACAATCATTAACCAAACAGGAATTCAAAATGAAGAAATTAGCATTATAGGTGATTGATATCTCAATTAAATGATTGCTACAAACAGTCATTTATGAAATCTATTCTTAGAACGTCATTATACTTAATTCCATTGACAACCAAGATGTAAACAATATTTTTGCCATAAATGTAGCAAAACTTCAGAGGCAATGGAGATGCGGTACCGGATATTCACTAGCAAGGTTGGGCTTGTAAAAGTCATAGACATGAGACATATGACTCCCCCTTAATTTGCTTTCAAAAGCAATAGGAGCATCAGGCCCTACCAGCATAGCAATTGCAGCCGCTCCTCCAGTAGGCCGGGCAGGTCCTTCTGCATAGACCTGAAGAACAAAAGCACTCAGTAAGAAAACCATACAAAACTAGAGCTTATATAAACCTCCAAATATGTCTCTATGCTTTTGCTTTTAGTTAAATGCATGACTATGGCCAACCCAGAGATATAGTGAATGCAAATGACTTGAAATCTAAACATGTTACTGATATAAATGTACAATCACAGAAGAAAAATCATGTATGTTTTGCTCCCGGAAGTATGCGAGGATCATACGAACAGAGAAGTATGAAATTGCAGCCCCTTTAGTCCAAAACTAAAACCACGTACAGAGTGGTAATTCAAAAATATATAATTTTATTCAAGACAGGATTGGGAAAAGGAAAGTGGAAGTTTGCAGCCACTGATCATTATTATAAAGTACAGTTTAGGAAATGACCATACCGCACTGTCAGTACAAACAACAAGACCATATCGTCCATCCCATGAACTACTTTCCACCCAATTGACACAGTTGAATAAAGCTGCAGTCCCTCCATAGCATGCATTACTTGAGTCGACCCCTTCAATGTCAGTGTTTCCACATTTCTGTTTGTTTTACATGACAAAATAGCATTGTTTGAAAATTGCACCAGAGTTTACATCAATGCAATTAAAGAAATCAGAATTTTCAAGATATTCAATCTTGATATCAACCAGGGGTTTCCCCAAGAAAAAGAAGCAGATCACAACTAGCTGATAGTGAAAATCACAAGTAAATTCTAGCAGTTATTGCAACTGCTACTTTGAGCAACAGGTTGAAGTTTTCAAATAAATTCTAGGTAAAAAGATCGTGATCATTGGGAAGAGTACCTCAAAGATTTGCATCAGGAAGGTCTTAATGGATTTGCTCTTGTCTATCACAGTCTCACTGCCAACTTCAAGACGGCCAATTTGTTTAGGGTCAATCTTATACTTTTCAAGGAGTGAAGTAACAACTGTCAAACTGCAAATCAAGGTACCGAGTTAGGAAAAATGAAATAAAGTGTTCATTTCATCTAAACTATGCATAATTTTTCCTTGTATATACACATTGTAAAACATTACCCAGTGATGCTAAATAGAATATGAGAAGATTGAATATAAAATACAGGATTCACAACCTCATTGAGATAACATCTTCCACCTCCGTACAGAAGGCCATGCAATCTTGACCAAGTCCAATGGTGTATTTTCCTTTGCTTGCGCCATCATGAGCCTCCAATGCTTCCTGTTTCATAAGACAACGAAGGGGATATTTTTAAAATGTGATGCTAATGCAATTGGCTGGATTCATAAGATCCATATCACATAAAATTATTAAATTCCAACAAGAAATTAATACACTGGAACATGATTAGTGATTTTCTTTTTAAAGGAACAACCACAAATAGATTGTTCATGTTATTAAAGCATTAATTCCGAAAATAAAAGATTTTCAACCAAAAAAAAAAAGATTATTCTGCCCAAAAATATTTTTAAATAAATAATATGAATAAATCAAAAGATTAATAAATAACTACGGCCATCGTTTTACTATCATTACAAAAAGTAACACCAAAACACCTAAAACAAGTATCCGAAATCGAAAACTCATGCAATATAATTTTTGCCAAGAAAAAAAGAAGAAGAAAAATGAAAAGAAAGGAGAGTCAAGTGAAATCCAAGAAAATCCTAATTAACACTTATTTGTGACCCAGGTAAATGCAAAGCTAGTAAATATTCACATCAAACAGTGAGTTAGCAGACATGACACTTTAACTGTATCTAGATTTCGCCTAAATATCAAGATTTAGATGACCCCATCAACTCATGTTGTTAAAAGAACCACACCCAAGGAAATTATCATTAAAAGAAAAACTCTGAAATAAACTTTGAAAAAAGAAAATTAAAAATTATAAAAAAAAAACAAGAGGGAAACAGAGAGATAATTGGAAGCAATTAGAGTTTCTCTTCATCAGTCAATCTTGCTTCAGCATAAACGAAAATATACAAACATTTCAGAAGCTCAATTTAATCTCCATAAATAACCAAAGAATCCACCTTTTTCCCATCATTTCTCTCGTCTCAACTACTCAACAAAAACCCAGAAACCCAAAAAACAAAAAAATCAAAAGAAAATGGAAAAAAGAAGAGATTATGTCACCTGTTGAACACAGGTAGGAGGGAAGTAGATATCCATAGCAAGAATTCCCACATTCTTTGCCATTTCTCGCTCCAACTAACAAACAAAGATCAGCTACAACAACAAGAGCAAAAAAAGAGAAGCCTTTCTTATCGAAACAAAACAGAAACTTTTCTTTTTTTACTCTCTCCTTCTCTCTCTCTCTTTCTGAGGAGTAAATATTCGATCCCTGAAACTCGCAAGAGAAACGTTGGTGAGAGTCACATGTGGGTGTTCTTCAGTATTTATAGGCAAATGCAGACTTTGTGAGTTCGTGTACCATTGCCTAGTTGGAAACCTTTTGTTTTCCATTTTGCCCTCTCTTTTCTCAGTTATTTACAATATTTGCCGCATGTTAGCGTGGGGAATGGTATCAGTTTTTCACTTTCTGCTTTTATTTTTTTTGTTTTGCCAGCATTACGTTGTCCTTTTTGTCTCCTTCCTTTTTCTCTTTAAATTTCTTAAAAAAAAGACTTTTTTTTTTAAAAAAAGGTTAAATTTATTCATGACTGATGTTTAGTCTTATTATTCCTTGAAGCTTATACTTACTGACTTTGCCTAAACGTATAAGTTTGAATCTAGGTGTCCTTTTCACTTTTTTATTTTCTATTAAACAAATTTTATCATAATCTCATTTCTTATGAAAAAAGTTGAAATTCAAAAGTCTTCACTTGAATTTAGACATTTTCTTTGTTTTTTTATTTAGAAAAAAAAATAAATACGAATCTAAATCCTTAAATTAAGATTCTTACACTTTTATTGAACCAAATGTTTTAAGCAGTGTATCTAGACATGTTAAAGACTGAATAGAAAACCTAGATTTTTCTTGTCAAAAGTTGTGTTCATTTAACATTTTTGGGCCAAAATTTTAAAATTTTACATTATGTTTGTTGAGATTTTAGTTTAATAAATATTTTAAACAGTAAAGGTCAACTTTTTTTTTAAAAAAAAAGTTCAAGGCAACACTTACATTTCATATTATGGAACTTTAAAATTCAATAAAAAAAGATAAAAAGTATATCTGAATATAAATAAATTATTAATATAAATAGTAACGATCTTGAGTTATATCTTAGATCATAATTATAATTAAGATATTAACGATCTTTGGTTATATCTTAGATTATGATCATAACCATCGTATCTTAAGTTACATCTTAGATCATAACCAGTTATGTCATAAGATTTTTAAACTCTTTTATTAGTAGGTAAAATGACTTAAAATGCATTTCTAATATTTCTTAACATATAATTAGGGATAAATAATTCTTATTAGAAAGTTTTACCTTATTCTCAAACAAAAAAGGGAACTTAATACGTTAGTAAAATGAATCTAATTATGAGATTTATTGCATATACGATCAAAGATTTAGATGGTAAGTAATCCCTCAAATCATTGCACAGATAACTTTTCTTTTCCCCTTCCAAATAAATTAAATACGTAGTAACATATTACCATTGAAGTGAATATTTCAGAGTCAGACATTACAAAGACAAACAAATTCTGCAAGTATCTAGTATGATGGTGAGATCCTGCGACATGGACGTACACCCAAGTCCTTAATGCTTTCCCCATTGGATTCTCCGCGAACTTCCTGTTTTTTTTTCCCACATTTCTGATTTCTCCAACCTGCTCCATCGAATCAATGCTTGTTCCATTGATGTAATGGTAATGCGTGACACACATGACTTATAAAATTTTTTAAAAAATTGAATATTTTGTATCATTAATATTTTTATTGATTAATCATATGGTGAGTTTCTACATCAGTTTTTCAATTTTGATATGCTACAAAATTGTTCTCTTAAGATAGGGAGCCCTTTCTGCTTAAATAACCTACACATATAGCACTAGGAAAAAATGTCTATAGACACAGCAACGACTGATGGGTAACAGTTATGACATTCAAATAATTTGGAATTATCATTTACAATAAACATTAATGCGATTGACAAGTTTCTGTTCATTATAAGTAGACATTTCTTTTTTATCCCTTACAATTATTTTCCAAACTATGTCGTATTTTATATTTGGTCAACATGAGTTTAATTTAAAGGGCAACTTCCAGTCACATGAAAGGGAGCTGGTGTAAACTCAATTGAAATTGTAATGAAAGTTATAATACAAATACAAATTCAAATCAAATTTATTTTTAATAAATCCGACAAGCAAAAACCCATTCAAGTTGCTATTTATAAATACATATAATTAATTAATTTGTAAAATTAAAAACCAATCCAAACTGGTTGAATTAGCATGCCAATTACCTAACTGGAGAGAAAAGAATACGTTTTTGTGGGCATCCAAAATTGACTGCATTTAATATTAATATAATTAAAAAAATAAGAAGCAAGATAATTAGTCAAAACTCGAAAGGAATGAGTATGAAACCCAAAGTGAGTTGGCAATTGTTGACAGTTATCTGTACTGTAGTTAGGACATAGGAGCAAACCCATGTTTGTCCACTGTTGCTGTGGTCACGACGGAATTTGGCTGAATCAATTTTTTTTTTCCTTTTTTTTCTAATTTATATGTAATAAAGTGGGACAAAGGCGGGGTGGTTGGAGCTTCGGGTCAAGCGTGTCAATATGTGAATGTGCTTCACACTGCACGTGGACTGCTCGCTGCTGGATTTCTGTTTCATGATGATAGAGTGGATACGCCATGTTGTTTGGTTTTCTTCCTTTTTTTTCCCATTTTCCTTTCTTCTTTTTCTTTTTAATTTTTTTTAATTAATATGATGGTTGTACACTGTGTATCTCTATATTTACTTAAAGTAACGGTTTATCTTATCCGTTTTATCATGTGACGGCAACATTTATTATATATTTACACTGCTTACAACTATAATTTTTCATTTTGTCTTTTGGCATGCCAGAATTTATGAGCTTTGGATCTTAGACCGGGTTACCTATGTAACCAATGAAGTTAGAACATCCAATTCAATACTTGCAAATATCTCAGTGTAACTTTCTCTATGTTTTCATAGATATATAAATCTCATAGAAAGTAACCATTTCAAGATTCTAAATTTTTCTTTTTAGTACATAAGAATAAGTGTAATTACGAGAAAATAAGAGTAAATACTTTTCTTTTTAATACGTAGATAAAGCCCTTAGCAACCAAATTAATTCTTTGTTATTTTGGATTTGGGGAGATTGATGCTTTCGCCATTGATACCGTTTTTCAACCATGCGTAGGTAAATGGGAACCTTATATTCAATAAACGACATATTTTTCCGGCTACATAAGCATGCCAATGTTGATATTGGTTATATTTGACTTCCATTGAAGCAATATTTTGTCCACCTTGGCAGGAGAAAATAAAAATTATACTTCAAAAGAAAGACTCTTTGCCTTTAGTAACTTGCAATGGCAATTTAAACAGGAACGATGACTTTGACGGAAAAACAAGGCGGCTGACTTGGTTGGTAAAATACGGCGAGTCTAAAAGTCCAAACTTGCAAGCATAAATAAAATATCATACAAATTAAGTCCGGCAAATGTGTGGAAAATATCAAACTATATGATGCTTTAAATGAGCATATTGAGTTCTTCTCTCTCTTTTTTTTTTTGGTTTTTTGGGGGGTTTGATTTAATGGGTTATTCTTGTTTTTGTTACTTTCCTCTTGATTCTTTCTTATTCGTTGTTAAAATATTATTGATGGTACTTAGTACTTTAACCTTGAATACTTGACCGGCCTAATTTTATTTTTCCCATGGGTTTCCTGTTTACTAGATTTTTTGAGTCTTTTGACAATTTATGGGATTATTGACAGTAGATAAATAACCAAACAGTCCAAATAGAACTCTTGAAAGTTTAGTGTGCTCAACCAAGTGAGCCTAATCTTAGGTAGATTAGCAGTAGCAAACATTTTTCTTATTTATTTTATGCATTGTGATTTTTTAATGGGAAGAAAATGATATCGGTCATGGACTTTTTGGCCTTTCAAACAAACATAATGCACTGATCATGAACTTGGAAAGAAGGATTTTTAATGATGGAAATGTAGGTGACATTGACTTGAGATTAGTGTGTGAATATGTGATTTTATGCAATGCTTCAAGGGTAAACGATGGAGACAGGAGACTTTGATGTACCCTTTCTTCTTTTGTGGCTCAGAATTAATTAGCGCAGCAGCAGCTCCCCGTATAATAGAAACGACTGTAGCTTCTCTTCAAAGGTATGAAAATATCATGAAATTTTGCTTTTATTGTGATCGATTTTTTTTTTGGTAGCGAAATGCTATTCTTTTATTTCTTTAAAAACAATTAGA